AGTCTACTTATATTTTCAGAAATTACTCGTTTAAATTATTTATCCATATAGTAATTCATAAAATAAGTTATGAAAATGAAAGAAGTCTGTTCTTGTAGCCAATCCCTCAATTATTTAGAATTTAGATCACAGTGAATCAATGGAATTACAGTATTAAGTCAATAAGACTGATAAACAAATTATCAAGGTTTTTAAACTTACCTGTGATACTTATAAGCCATAATAAATATATTATTTTATGTTTAGCTGAAATCTGGCTGTATATTTTTAGTTCAGAGTTATAAACATTAAGTACACCTGTTCAATATACATATAAATATATAACTTTCGTCTGTATATACGTGCAATTCTCTATGCAATCATCCTCTTCTACGTTTTGTTTAAAACCCATATGAAAATAACAGGGTTGAAATACACACGGTAATTCTTGTAGAATAGAACAAGACAAAGCATAAGACAAAACACATGAAACTCCACATACAGTTATACCTGAATATTTTCCTTTAGAAATAAATAAAACTTTATAATTAACATTTTTTAACGATATTTATTACTTTCTAGCTTGGACTTTAAGGGCGGACTGAGAAAAACTGTTACTTATTTGAAGAAACCTAAAATATAAATAAACTAAACAAGTGTTCTCATAATTTCTCAATATTCTCGGTAACTGACCGGATCTTTCAAAGTTACCTTCTCCAATTTTATATTACTGAGAATTTTCGAACTCTACACACGATGCGATCGCGCAACCCTGCCCGTGAGCAATCTCCCAACTCATCTCTGGTATCAAGCATCAACACGGGAACCGGGGGTGTATTACGTAAAGTAAATTAAACGGAAATGTGAAAAATGAGTAGCTTACGGTATTACGAAACGTTTTTGAGTGTGAAAATGCGAGACCATTCATATGAACTGGCTTGGCACGAATTTTTAAGCAAAATGGTGAAGCATACAAGAAAAGATGGAGAAATAAGCGCCGTAAATGCTATCTTCCACGGATTGTGACACCGAAATTCAGAATGGGAAACATCCTGGATGTTTTGATTTTTGGCAACGATAGTATTCGGGAACGTAATAATAACCTTATTAGACGAAGAAGCGAATTACGTGATTCCTCAGACTCATTTTCGTTAGAAGAAAGAGAATTTACTAGGATGTACAGGTTAGTTTTTATTATTGCGAGGTTATATTACATTATTAAACATTGAACACAGTTAAATAATTCATGCTTACATGACATGATAAGAAAATTATATTGTTGAACTTCTAATTATAGTATATGTAAATATGAATGTAATACATATTTTTAAAATATAGATGGACTCGAGTCCTCTTCTTTACTTTTACGGCTTTACATTTTCCCGCCTTTCCTGCCTATAACCCACTACCTCTCAACAATTTCGATTTACAAGGTATGTACCTTTATTTGCAATATTACTAGACCGAAGGTGCTAATAACCTCGTTCTTTCAGGGGGTCATCCCGTGTGATCGGTTCAAACAATCGATTTTTTATTTGCATGAATTGCATCCAGTTATAGTGTAAAATATGTGGGTAAAGTGATTTTCCGATATTCGAAGTCGTTCGGAAATTACAGCGTTGAACAGGCCAGATGGAGCATCGGACTCCGTCCCTTGCGTTTCGGTTTCTTACCTGGGCCCTTCAAAAAATCATTTAGTTGTGAAAAAAGAATGCGTAGGACATGTCGAGAAGAGAATGGGAACGCTACTCCGGAATGTTAAGAAAAATAATTAAGGAATTGGTGGAAAAGGGGCTGGAAAACTTACCGATAAGCTCATCGAAGAGCTCACTAAATTTTACGGTTTAGCTATTCGCTGACACGCAAACTCGATGGAAGAAATAAAGGAAACAATTTGGGCAACTTTGTACCACAAATGTTCTACAGACGCAAATCCTCAACATCAAAATTGTCCAGCAGGCGAAGACAGCTGATGCAAATGGCGCAAGGCTGAAGCCAGAGGAGAACTCACTAATTTCCACCACGATAAGCCACCTCTGCACACGTTCAAGAAATCATCAAACCAGTCTACGATGATTTCTCAAGAGATGAACTGTTGGCCAGGTGTTTAGGAGCACATACACAAAATAACAATGAATCATTGAATTCATTGATCTGGACTTTCATTCCTAAACACCTGCATTCTGGCACAAAAATCGTTGAAATTGCAACTTTTCTTGCCGTTATTATCTGCAATGAAGGATTTAATGCCATTTTGAAAGTTTTGGTTACAATGGGATGCCAAATTGGCTACGTAACTCAAGCTTACGCCGATCGCCGTAATAAAGCGCGTATCTGCCGATCCGAACGACGCACAAGCGACTTCGCTAAAAGAGCGAGAACTGATGCCAGGGAGCAACCATCGGCTTTGCAAGATTTATTTTAGAAAACTGAAGGTTCACTTTGTGGACCAGACATAGCAGATTAAGGGTGAGTCGAAATTTTATTGATGATAATCGTATTTGAACCTTTAAACGCGTTTATCTCAAACTGGTAACCGCGATATCTCGAAATCTATCGTACGAATTCCTTTGAAATTTGAATGACTTATTCAGTACTCATGTAGACAGTTTGCAAACTAGGATAATTCTGATTCATCGAGCCGGTTTTTTTTTTCATGTTGAAGAAGTCGTGAAAAAGACGAAAATTCACGAAAAAATGTTCACCAAGATGCCAAAAGTTTACCTTTCAATATTTTTTAATAAGCCTAGTTCAAAAACTAGTTCGTACTTTACAGATTAAAATGCCGTTTGATTTTTTTTTGTTTCAGATAAGCAGAACGCCCGCAATCGTGGTCACCGCAAAACACTTTTTTTTTTAATGAGTGACCAAGTTGCCGTGTACTTCAGCAATGAGCGATGATTTCGGGCTGAAAAAAATTGTAAAGTGCGCTCAAAATATGGATAAATACGTGGTAAAAAGTTCGTAGTTGTATATTTACTTAGTTCGTCAAAAAAAATTCCCCAAAAAAGCGAAAAAAAAGAGTCTTCACACGGGATGACCCCCTTCATATAGCGAATACGTAATTCGGCGAATAAACCCACGTGAGATAAAAGTGCGTGATGTGAGCACTCTCGTCTAAAATACGTAATAAGCGCCTAGAGGGCCCATTCCGTAACTCGTAACGACAGATATCGTTAACGTTAGCCCGTGTTATCCCAATGGGCTAACGAGAACGATATCCGTCGTTACGAGTTTCAAAATAGGCCTGCAGGGCTTTTATGAAGACTTCTGTATTCTTTGCACACGTGTCACCTCGTGAACGTTATTGTTCTCTATTCCTTAAACTGAATTTTAAATGCCTTACCCTTTAATTATGTATTATAACTACATTGGACTCGACAAAACCCAAGAAAAAACTCACGGAGGCGTTTTTCAATATCTCCCCGGGGTATTTGAAAAATTCTTTTCTAAAATAATAAATATCTAAAGAGTAATGAAATGCTACTGATTATTCATAACATACTAAAATCAAGAATAAATGTAGTAGATTCTATTATCACCCAAACTGCCATCAACGATAAATTTGTATCCAAAGAAAAGCATTTGGAGTCCGCTCACGCTTGGAATAATCGTAATTCCATTAAAAAATGGCGCTAAATCGCTAATAAACGATTTTCAAACAATCTCGAGTCGGTAAAACCGATGAAATCGGTGAATTCGTTTTACGTGTCATTGACACTTGAAGATTGTACTACATAGGTAAAAATGAACAATATTCAGTTTAGGGTCAACTCGGATGGCCACATAATAACCTTCTACTATACAAATATACTATAATGTAATTAACAAGCAAAAAAACAATTGTACACTAAGAAAACACATTAGTTGAGTAAACCAAATATTCTGCCTAAATCATATGATTGCAAGAAACAAATATTACTTTGAGAAGAAAAATTTGTAATTGATTTAAACAAGTGATTTCATTTAAATATGCAGTTCTACCAATCGAGTGTGAGATTGCCTCAAATAAGAAAAAGTTGAATCAATCACCTAAATTTTTGGTAGAAACGCTGATGTCATAAATTATACAAAATGATTGATTAAATGAAAGTCATAGTACCGAATGAAAAATTACACTATTTACATGACACCATGACAACCAGTACTGCTGCTGTCTCTTTTTCTTTCGTTACCCAAATGACACTCGAGTTGATTCGATCCTTTTAATCAACATCCGTATCTCCTTAACTTCAAAATTCTGGAAGCAATAAAATCATATTTCCGAAGACTAGGCCACATCAAATGGATATAATTTTTTAATTTTCATTTAGAATATATCCATTCTTAAAATCATAAAGTTCAATTGACCCTATGTAGTTTAAGAAATTGTGAATATTAAAATATTTCTACATACATAAGTCTCCTACATGCGAAAGGATTACATACACTGTATAAATATTCTGAGTTGATACACATTGTTTCCATATAATTTATTTACAGATTTCAGCATAGAGGATTTACAAAAGTTTCTTGTACATTTACTCAAAAGTTGCCACAGATGTATTTAAATCTGTTTTAAAATTACACTATATAACAGTTATCCCATGCTTTTGCATTAACAAGTTTTAAAATTGTTTTCATTGTACCACCAGATCCCACATCAAATGTTCTTGGAAATGGAGTTCCTGGAGGTCTTTCATACAAAATATGCATAATTTGTTCCCACTTTACTGGTGACACAATTTGTTTGGGTAGCATCTTAGAAATGTGTTGTGCATTACCATAACACTTTCCAGTGACATTTGAATATACAGGAACTGCAGGTGTTTGAAGTGGCACATTATGCAGGGCTTTTATGAAAGGTTTCACTGCTGGTTCCATCAGACTTGTGTGAAATGCACCTGATACTGAAAGATTTTTCAAATTACGTAGACCTAAATGTCTGCCATTTAATTTAATGAAATCCAGAGCTTCTTTATTACCAGCCAAAATTTTACCCTGAGGGTATAAGTAAATTGCAATCCTATAAAAAATCAGTAAATTATTGAATTGTTTATAGGTTAACAAATATTATTACTTAATATTTCAAAAATAACAACGCATTTTTTTCCAATGCGTATTTTATATAAAGGGAAACAAAACTGGGTTGTATATTTATGAAGAACAGAATATAATATTATTTGTTTACTGCAGTTTTTTTTTAAATGCATGCCTAATTTCTTACATTACATTAAATTTACATCTAATATTAGCAATAAAGATGATTCACAATGAAGTTGATATAAACATATTATCCGTGACAATAATTGTAGAATAGTCAAACAATAAATATTTGCAAGTGTCTTCACACATATCACATTGTCAATATGTGAATAAAAATCAGTATAGAATAATCTGCATGTTTACAAAAGGTATCAAATAAGTACTGATCACTTACCAAATATAAGGCTTATGAAATTAATAACTGATACAAATTAACATTCAACTTTATAATTTAAGGAATCAAAAGGACAATTATAGAACGTACGAAAATGTACAAGCTATTTTATTTCATCATTTTATGTGGACTAGTGAAACTTACTGTTGCATAAATAAAATTGTGTTCTGTTAATGATTAAATGAATTTACCAGCGTAATAATTAATTTCTTCATTAAAATACTAGTACTACGAAACGGACACATATTACAGGCAATGTGATAAAATGGACACCATGCTTATACAATATGTAAAACAATGCACACTGTTAAAATTTATCACACTAACCATACGCATACACATAATTTCCAAATAATATTTTAACAACTAATGATAATTTGGTTATTGATATTCAAATGTTTAACACAAATGTAATTTCTTAAAACAAGTAGTGTTTGTAAGCATTTTAATCACAATTATTCATGAGAACTGGTTATCAATATTTTATGCAGGTATAAGAGAAATAATTAAAATGCAATACGAAACATTTTTTAAATATATATCTTAAATATAGTTGAATCCTTTTAGTACCCAAGAATACATTGTTGTTTTACAAGCGCTAACGACTTCATCCAGCACTATAAGGATTAAACATTAAAAATTTAATACAATTTTATAATGCATATTCTTTTATAAATTACTACTTGAAAATAATTTAGGTTAAACAGAATATATTTCAGTATAATAAACATTCTGTTAGTTACACTAATCATGTGATTATTAATTTTTCAGAAAGTCAACCATACCTACACAGTGGATTATTAGCTCCTGAATCCAGAGCCCAACTTTGTGCCTTCTTACAAATGTCAGAAATATTTGCATTTGAAGAACAAATTACAGACATCATTCCCTGCGGAATCCTTGCAGCTGCATTTTGCATTGCTGTTCCTCTTATACCGGCAAGTCTAATACCCTGTTCTAGACTCATTGCTCCAGCAAAAATTAAAGCAGTCAACTCTCCAACACTATAGCCTGCAACACCCACACAGGTTTCCAATACTTGAGGTCGTTCCTCTCGAATCTTTTCCATTGCTGCTAATGATACCGCAACAGTAGCTGGCTGGTTATACTCAGTACGATTTAATTTTTCCTGTGGTCCTAACAAACATAATTTCAATAAATCATATCCCAATGATTCATTGACCACTTGAAAAAGATCCTTGGCACCAGGAAAACGTAGATATTCTTTTACCATGCCAACCAATAACGTTCCTTGACCAGGAAACAATACGAGTGAGGTTTCTGCAGGATTTTTACCAACGCGTACTGCATGTGATCCTTGTAGTTGTTTTGAAGCATGTTTAGGATATGGAAGGGTGGACCAATCTTGAATTCCAGCATCGAAAGTAGCAGCATCATTAAGAAGCTTTGAAACCTCTGATTCATTTTCAATGTCATTACTTTCACCATCACCAGATATTTTACTTGAAAAATTACATCCTACATGACGACCTTGCCGGCATACATTTAAAAAGATAGGAAAATGTTGATAAAACAGTGTCTTTTTCAACATAACTAATTTTAAAAACGTATTTCCAGAAAATTTCCACAAAGTATCAAATCATACGACACCGAAAAGTACTTCTATCATCATGAGCAGCTTCAAAAGTATATAATACAAATATATTGTAACTATTCACAGAGATGAGTTGAGAGATTACTCACGGGCACGGTCACGCGATCGCGGTTTGTGCTGCCCTCTAGTGATGGATGCGAACGTCTGACGCGCCTGCCCCCAAAGGCGTTGCAACGAATTTCCGGTGGCGGCCCACGCACACTGGACTCCATCGATGGCTTGCTCCAAGTCCGCACTGCCCTCTCCGGCCGCACAGCGTACCAGCGTCGGGAGCAGCGCGGAATTCGAATCGCTCGAGGGGCAGAATGGATTTCCTAAAGAAAATAAGTATTTATAAACAAAAACAATTAATGAAGCAATAAAATCATATTTCCGAAGACTAGGCCACATCAAATGGATATAATTTTTTAATTTTCATTTAGAATATATCCATTCTTAAAATCATAA